TCTCTGTCTCTCTGTCTCTCTCTCTCTCTCTCTCTGTCTCTCTGTCTCTCTCTCTCTCTCTCTCTCTCTCTGTCTCTCTCTCTCTCTCTCTCTCTCTCTCTCTCTCTCTCTCTCTCTCTCTCTCTCTCTCTCTCTCTCTTTGGTAGTATGATAAATATTTAGAATTCGGAGAATAGATAATACATACAGTATATATGAAACGCGGACGAGAAATAAAATATATAAAATCATATAATAGAAAAACTGCAATTGGAAAAATAAATTTAAAAATTTATACAAGCATCTTATTTAAATAAAAATTATTCGATTAGTAAATGATAGAAGATGGAATATGAGAAAATGTTTAATTGTATAAAAATATACATTACAATAGATTCTGATTTGTTGAATATAATGTTGTATATTTGAATGTTTAAATATATATTGATGCCATTAATACTATTTCGATCATTATAAAATGTAGAAATATAGAAAGAAAATAAAGAGAGGGAAAAATCTTTTTATATTTATGTACACATACCACACAACTTCCGTCATGGGATGTTTCGCAGCAAAGAGACATAAGAAAGAAATTGTGTCACAATTGAACACCTGGAAAGGAGTGTACGTCAATTGGACATAATGCTTATTGGCCAGTTGAAAATAAGGCTCTTTCATTGGTCAATCCTGCTGGTTACCCTAGGCACCGGTCGATATGAGTGGTTGTGTCCAATCGGTAAAAGTAACGTTTACGCAATCACCGAAAGATGGAATCGCAGAGCGAATATTTAGTGAAATATGTATACAACAGAACACTAAATTATTTTGAAAGATTTGAGAATGAAAAAATGTTGAAATGCATTAATTTACTTATGGACTTTGTCATATGTGTCTCGCAGAATAATTGAGATAATTGGAATCAATTATTTCTTTTTAATTAGTCACTTTGTATTGTGTAATTATATAAACAAACGATTATATATTATTTTAACCTAAAAAAATGATGCAAGCATACAGAAATATAGTGCGAACTTTGCTTTCTAGTAAGTTTTCAATATAATATACTTTTGAAAGAAAAACATTATATTCACATTTAATAAACTCTTATCTAAATAGGAATTTTATTTCTAACATTATGCTATTTTTTACAGACTGGCAACCTACATTGATGACACCGGCAGCTGGTTTAAAAATCTTTCGTCAACCTGTAAAATTTGGCAGTAAATATATACACATAGCATATACTTGTTATATATAGGATATTTTGTAATTTGAAATTATGATTACTAGACATTGAATATCCTGAACGACGAAAACTCAGAATAATGGAGAACAGGAATGCGTGCTTTTAAAATGCAAAAACGATTGCGATACATGCGTGGTCCAGAAGAGGTGCACAATTTCCTTTTATACAAGCAATATGGGATCATTGTAAGTCTGCATATGTAATGACAAAAAAATCATTGTTATAGAGATGTTTAATTATTCTCTCAAACTACACAGGCAACAGGAGGAGGTAGATTAAAACATAATCATTTTGAGATGATCCGTTTAAAACTTGGCAGAAAAATTAATCAACAAACGATGTTTGCAATTTGGCGTGTGGATCCACCATGGCAACCAGTTACAAAAAAGGTTGAACAATTAAATTATAGATTATATAAAGCACTAATTTGAAATATATTACTTTTCTGACGTAACAGTTATGGTTTCTATAATTTAGGGACAAGGACATCGCATGGGTGGTGGCAAAGGTTCTATTGACCACTATGTTACTCCAATTAAAGCTGGACGTGTCATCGTAGAGCTCGGCGGTCATTGCGAATTTTTTGAGGTATATTGTGATAATGTATTATCAATACATATATGTCTTTCAATATTCTTCAAAATAACATTACATTTTATAATGGTATATATAATTTGCGAGACTTGTCTCGTATATTGTCAAATTCATTCTGACTAACAGAATATGAATAAACAAAAATGTATTAATGTACGTCAAATTCTTTTTTAGGTAAAAAAAATATTGTCCGATATAGCACGCATACTGCCATTCCAAGCCAAAGCCGTCAGTCAAGAAATGTTGGATAACGAAGCAGCTAAACAGGAGTGGATGGAAAAGAACAATCTGAATTCTTGGACCTGGAAATACATGGTTCAAAATAACATGCTTGGCTGCTTTAAATGGATATCGCCAACTGATAAACTATGGTTTAACAAATACTTGTAAATAAAAAGAAAAGATTGTAAGAAATTACACATTCTTATATTTTCTCTTTATGAAATATTTTATAATTTATCTCAGTAAAATTAGATAATAAATGATAATAAATAATTAATGAATAATAAAACAATTAATATTTTTTTTATTCATTAATGATTATATATATATATATATATATAATTTATTTGACATTTGTTTTAATTGGTAAAGCCGTGCAATCTCAACCTTCGATGAATAAGTTTTACGTTTCTCGCACGAGTTACACTCTCTTGTGTCATTTCTTACCTCTATGGTGCGTGCACAAGTCTGAGCTTTTTAAGGTTACGATTGAGAAAGTATGTGTGGAAATGTATCAATATTAAATTATTTCATTATGCAACGTATTTAAATTTCAATAAAATTGACAAGCTTTACATTTTACATGCATATACTACATACATGTATCGTAATGTAACATTATTTAGCTATAACCTATATTTATATATAATTTTAAATTTCGTATATAATATTCCTTAACAAGCATTTCATCTCATTTTAATGATAATATAATACTAGAGAATATACATATATTACAGATGACAAAACTGTTGGAGTGGTTATCATGTGCAACTGTGATTTTTAGTATCTGGTTTGCTACGATCACAAGCAGCTCTACTTTTGTTAAGGAATGGCATGAAATAATACTTTTTCTTCCAATCATTTGCTTGTTTCTCTTTGGTTTGTACGCGGCTACCGTCGTTCTGTACAGAGTATTCACCTTCAACACCTGCGACAGTGCAGCCATCGAACTTCAACAAGTTAGTTTGTCTTGTATCTATAAGAAAATATATTTGTACTTTAGTAGTGTTAATATCTCTTTGTTATCACTTTCTTTTTCAGCAAATAGAGGAAGCTACAAAGGATCTTCAGAGCAAAGGTGTAATATTATCAAAAGAGGCTTCAACTTAAAACTTGTATAAATAAAATTTAAAATATTACAAATTTTCTACTCTATATATCTGTATGTATTATATTTTATCTTTATTCGTAAAATGATAATGTAATAGAAATAAAATTATGATATTTATTTTATATATGTATGACTAAAAAGAGAGAAAGAGAAAGAATATCTGCATCTTTCCTAAAAATTATTTTTAGACAATAATACAACGTACTAAGTTATATTAAATAAAATCTTAATTTATTCATTTATGCTATGTATTACAAGTATGTTGAGCACACAACCGAGCATTCTTTTTTTTAACAGCATTGTTTTCTATTAACTTCATATTTCTAAAAAAATGAAGAATAAAATTTAATTCAGTGTAATAGATTGGTAAATTTTATGCATTGTTATTAAAAATTCTTCAACAAATAATTTTTCACTTTACTATTATCTTTTTACTAAGTATAAGAGCAATGGAATTTTTTTTAAATATTTATTATCATTTTAATGATATTAATAAGTAACTGTATAGAGAGAGAGAATACAAATTCAAGGATTCAGAATTTCCTGTAACATGCATAAGTACGTACATACGTATGTATGTAATATTATGCAATGCGCATAAGTCTAATAATTAGTCTTTTATTATACAAAAAAAACCGCATAATATCGCTTGCTATTTTATGCTGCAAAAAAAAGTAAAATTACACATCATATTTGGAATACAATCTATAATATTATACCACATTTTAGCGCGCTTTTTAATAGAATTCCAACATAATGTATATAACAATTAATATTCAAGTGCTTATAATTTCGAGAGTACTATCAATAGATATGTAGTGTTCTATAGTTGTTTTATTTAATTTATTTATTCCAATCAATTTGTGTGTGGTAAGCAAACAAAACTCCTTACTATTAGCAAGAACTTAATAATGTGATATTTACATATCAAATTATAATTTTTGAGATCTAGAAATTGATTAAGAACAAAATTATATATATGGCAGGCTATTTTTTTTATAATACGCTCTTAGTTTACCAGATTGTAATACATGCAAGAGAGCTTTTAAATCAATTTTTGAATATTATCATTTAAAAGTAGATCTCTTTGTACATACATACATAAATACGGATATACGCAAGTACACATACATAAACGGATGCACTCTATAATTTTTATATCAGAAAGCCGAATAAATGTACAAAGTGTACTTATTATATCTATTTGTAGATGTGTTTAGACATGTATAAAACATATCTATAACATGAGAGTGAATATATCTCTTCAATTTATATATTTGCGACCCTCAATATATATATATATATGATACACACATATATATAATATATTGAAATATATATGCATATATATATATGTATACATATAACTACTGCAAGATATACTTTTGCAGAATATTCCATACAACAGTAGGCTTTCTCATATAAAAACAAAATTATATTGCTCCATATATATTTTAAGAAACATAGAGCATTCATAGGCTGTATAAGGATGGATTTTATAATACCGTTTGCTGTAAGCAATAATTCTTTCTCTCATAAAAATGTGTTATATTATGTTAAATGAAAATGTTTTTAAAAGTATGAAACAAGAGAGTCGGTATACGTAATATTACGGTATGCGTGCTTATCTTAGATTCAGTCGCTTACCAAACACACCAAGGGTTTTATCTACACAACGAATAAAATAGCAGAGATATTTGCGTGTATATCTATATACAAAGTAAAGATGATTATTGTAAGACCATTTGAATATTATCATTTAAAAGTAGATCTCTTTGTACATACATACATAAATACGGATATACGCAAGTACACATACATAAACGGATGCACTCTATAATTTTTATATCAGAAAGCCGAATAAATGTACAAAGTGTACTTATTATATCTATTTGTAGATGTGTTTAGACATGTATAAAACATATCTATAACATGAGAGTGAATATATCTCTTCAATTTATATATTTGCGACCCTCAATATATATATATATATGATACACACATATATATAATATATTGAAATATATATGCATATATATATATGTATACATATAACTACTGCAAGATATACTTTTGCAGAATATTCCATACAACAGTAGGCTTTCTCATATAAAAACAAAATTATATTGCTCCATATATATTTTAAGAAACATAGAGCATTCATAGGCTGTATAAGGATGGATTTTATAATACCGTTTGCTGTAAGCAATAATTCTTTCTCTCATAAAAATGTGTTATATTATGTTAAATGAAAATGTTTTTAAAAGTATGAAACAAGAGAGTCGGTATACGTAATATTACGGTATGCGTGCTTATCTTAGATTCAGTCGCTTACCAAACACACCAAGGGTTTTATCTACACAACGAATAAAATAGCAGAGATATTTGCGTGTATATCTATATACAAAGTAAAGATGATTATTGTAAGACCGAAATGAAATAATGATGTTATCATTCACCCTCTGTCAGTCCTCTTTTTATTTTCTTTCTTTTTCTTTTTTTTTAATCGAAATGTCACACGAAATTAAATGAGCGATTCAGTCGTCCAGATTTTGTGAGAGTAGGAAATTAGCAGCGAGATTTTCATTCTTTTCACAGGCGAAGTATGCTTGTACAACTAAGTGTTCTGGGAAACCTAGCGCCTTCAACCTTTCAATAGCATCCCTGTCCTGTGGTGTTATCTGAATTGTACCAGATCCTACGCCTGCGGCTGCGCCCGTACCAGCTCCGCCATTTACAGCGCCTCCTGCTGCAGCCGCTGCAGTTGCAGACGCTACGCCTCCTCCAGATGTTGGCAAAACTCGCGCCCCCGCTCCTGTAGCAGGTTCCACTATACGAGAAAAGATAGATCAAATTATATATATACATAAATTGTGATACATTATTAATATTATTAATTAATTAATATTCTCTTCAGTTATAATATATACATAGTTAACTAGGACTAACCAGGTTCATTGAGCATGCGTACAAACGCTTCCTGATTTTGAGAAATAAGCTGCAACAAGGCGGGATTAGTGGAACCGATTTGCTGAAGAAGATTATTCAGCAGCTGCGGATTCTGTTGAATAACTTGACGCATTTGTTGAAATTGTGGTTGCATACGCAAGAAGGCCAATGGATCTTGACTCTGATCCTGAAGTTGTTCCTGAGTTTCTGGCGGATCCTCAGGTGGATCCTCAAAGAGTTGCGCCGGTATACCTGTTAGAAGATACTCGACAGCTCTGTCAGGATTGTTAAAACTCGCGCGTAACGCTTGTACAACCTGCTCGCGTTCATATCTGATACAAAAAAAAAAAAAAAAAATGATAAAAATATTATTAAGTATTAATAATAATCGTTGAATATGTTTCTTTTTCATTATACATACCCCATATCCATGATGTTGTTTACCATAGTATTATAATCCTCTCCCATTAGCAAGGCACTTTCTGCTTGACCGGCCGCTGGTGTAGGTACTGCGGGTTGCTCTTGCACATTACTAGCTGCTCGCAATGTTTCTTGAACATTAGGATTCGAACTAGGTTGCGTAATTGCTGAGCTATAATTTCAAACATAAAAAAAGAATATAAAACATGTCATATTATATCGAGTTTCATAACAGAGCAGCGTATCCCCAACTTAAAAAAAAAAGACATTAAAATATTATATATTTAAAAAAAAAAAAGATAGTCTTTCTAATGCCCTTTTATCCAAAACGTATTAAAATTTTATTCCTATATATAAAATTCGAATTCGATTCCAGGCTTATGCCTCTACATGATGAAGCTATCGATATGTATAATAATTAATAATAAATAAAATGAATATTTTATAACGTATGCGCGAAAAGGTTGAAACCTTTTACCTAGTAGATTCTTCCTTGCTATCCGTACTCTCCGCACGCTGCTCTTCGCTTGTTTTGGGCGTAGCACCAGCTTTAGGCTTTGTTACCATAACAACTATAAACTTCTTCTCATCGATATTATATTCTGTTAACGGTTGCTCATCTGCCAATATCTTCCCTGTAAGAATTTGTACATTATTACGATCTCGCGAGCAAAAATTCATACTTATTAAAACGTTCGTATACTAGAATAACATAACCTATGAGCGTTTTTGCAATATCATTCCTATCCCCCCGGGAAAGATATATATTCAAAACATACGCGCGCGAGAGCTATATAATACTTAACACACTGTAATAAGGCGGTGGAGAGTCCGCGTTGCGTTACGCGAATAAGCGCCGGGCGCTTTCTTTCCGACATCGCTCTTGACGAATTAAGGTTACATTGCTTACCAGCGTATATCAACTTTTGATGCTCGGCGGGGAAGCCTTTTTGCGTTTCGATCTTCTCCTTGAGATCTTTGACCTAGTAACGATAATAAGTACATACGTAATCTTCCGTTCCGTCAATCGCTCTCTTCGAAAAAAAAAAATAAAAAGATATCATTTTTCTCTCCCGTCCCTCCGATTTTTACTTACGGTTTGCGACGAGTCGATCTCTATCGTGAACGTTTGCTGCTGTAAGTTTTTCAACGTTATAATCATATTGCCGAGCTGATGGGTACCCCGTGTGTGTCTACGTCAATTCTCAATTGCAAAATTAACCCCCTTTTCCGCCGATAAGAATAAAACGATGTTTTGGTAGAGATTTTTTTCGGTGATGAGTCGGCACTGCCTTAAACAGCTCTCGCAAGTGTATATACGTTACACTTGCGACAGTGTGCGGAAAAACATATGATGATGAAGGGGCCGAAGAGTAACCAGCCACGGCTACCAACCGCTATTCCATTTAGAACGATATTAGGCCGATATTACGTATGGTACGAATCTGTCAAGCGTGCTTTATCATTATTTTTAATTATTTATTTATTATTTATTTATTTATCAAATAATATATATAAATTTTACTGTATTTAACATTATTTGATTTTCATTATTTAACCAATTTCAAAATTTACTATAAAAGTTACTAGTTTGCCGCATCATGGCAGACGTTTTCTCCCTTGAGAGTCTCTAAATAAATAAATAAAATAAATAATAAGTAAATAAATAAAGGATCTTTAAAAGTGTGCTAAATGGTTGTCAGATAGTAAGTTTCTATGGTTTTCGACCTATCATTGGCGTCTCTTTGTTTTTACTTTTGTAGACATAACATCTGCTTATTTTGCTTGCACTTTCTAGAACTCCCTGTGTTGAGATAGACGTATTCGACGACGGAGGGAGAGAGAAGGAAAGAGAAGAACCCGAGTGCAAAACGAGAACAGGCTTGATTGTATTTCTCTGTCAGTCTTGTACAACCTCGATGCCACAGATGATATAAGTGTGACTTCGAATTTGACATTAAAAAGATGTGACGTACCGAGAGCGTCTGAGGGAAGCGGTCTGCGTCGGTGACACCGATGCCGTGCAAGATCTCGTGAATTTAGGTGTCGACGTTAACGCACGACAATCTGTCACTGGATGGTACTTGTCACTTTGAATTTAATTTGATATCTTTGCGCAAAGATTAAAAAATATTTATCAGAATGAGTAATCTCGTATTTTTTATTTTGGAAAATTGTACTCTGACAATGCAAATGTATAAGATAAATTTATTTATCAAGATACTTTTATAATTGTGTTCGTCTCTTTGGTGTTTTTCAAGGACTGCTCTACATTGGGCATGCAAACAAGGATACTTGGATGTTGCTGCCTTACTCTTAAAAAATGGTGCAGATAAGAATCTGCGATCCGAGATAGGCGAAACTCCAGCGTCCGTATGCAGCAATCAACAAATCTTGTATCTTCTGGGTATAGGTGGTGATAATCAACGAATCATGAACGATTTGTCCTTACATACTGTTACATCTACATACAATCACCCAGATTTTCTGCATACTGCTGCAAATCTCTCGAAAACCAGAAATAATGCATATAACGAAAGCAAATTCATCGCGATGTCTCAAGATGGTATGATATATATTGATACAACTCTTTTAATGATATTGACAGTCAGTAAATATAATCATAAAAAATTAGTTGACTCAAAATCTGAAATAGTATAATTGCGATATTTACAGAAAAAATTTTTAAAAAACTATGCTGAACTGTCAAGCTATCATTGTTAATATGCATATGTATTGTACATAATGATTTGTACACTAATGTTTTTAGAATTGATATTGAAAATCCGAGTGGCCAATACAGCAGATCCGGATTTCGTCGAAGTGGAATTGCCGCGGAGCGAATTGACATATCAAGCTCTATTGTATTTGTGTTGCAAGGAGCTAGATCTCAATCCACATCAGATCCAGAAATTACGAAAATTGCCCAACACCAGATTGAGGAAAGATAAAGACATTCAAAGACTTGAAAACTTTCAAGAGATTGAGATAGTCACAGACACTACGAACGTGTACAAGAGTATGCAAAATGCGAACGGTGCCGCCAGCACTTTACTCGTGCAGTCTACGTTGCCGACTAATGGATATCAAAGTATATCCAAGAAGGATCAGACTATTTTATACTGATCGCTTACATTGGAAAAGATCCTTCCTTTTAAATATTTCCAAACTCTAATATATTAATAAGAGTAACAAAAAGCTATTTGTTAAACAATAGTATATATATTTATCTAATATTAACATCTTAAATGCAATAATCGAATGTGAATTATATAAGATGTGATATATTTAATGTTAATTAAATTAATATGTTAAATTAATATTACAAATTTAGATAGGGTATATTCTAAATTTGTATATATAGCAAATTTGGAAATAGTGAATTTTTGTAATTGTTTTTTACTAGAATTAAAATGATTAAAGTATAACAATAATTTTTATATATTGTCTTAATTCTTAATTTATTTGTTTTTCTTTGTGCTCTTCTTGTTTCGTAGATTTTTTTGTTTATTAAGGATAACTTCGCCATCGGGCTTAACAGTGACTGTGGTATCGCCCAGGAACGTCGATAGTTCTCCTTCCACTTCGTGGTAAGCCTTCGGTCTCTTCGGCGGTACCGCAATCGTGAGTGGATCAATCGTATTTTTACTCCCTGAAATATATAAATTTGTTTAAGAGACCTAATCTGTGTATCAATAAATTGAATGTTTTAATTAAAACATACTTAATGTCATATAAAAAGGCAATGCTAGAGAGGTCGTGCTTTTCAACCGAAGAGCTCGTATGTTCGCCCACTTGCCAGGATAATGCATTTCAAGATCTTTGCAAGTCGCCAATATATTTGTCATGATTTCTTTTTCACTCATAGATGTGTTCCCTATCTGGACTAAATGAGTATCGCCGTTAGAGTGAAGATGCATGCTAGTTTTTCTCAATGCATAATCGATTTCGTGCTTCAAATCTTTGCTGTCCATCCTGATCGATGTTGGCAATTTCCGTCTCTTTATGAAATGTTTTCCCAACAGGTGTGACATAAAACCAGCGATGCGACCATCGACAAGAAAATGATCATAACTGCCTACAAGCTTTTTCTTCAATTCGAATTGATCGAATTCGGTTTTCACGCGATTTATAGGTATTATTTCATTCACGCGAGTACATCCGTGCTCGTCCAATAAGTTTTTGTAATGCTCTACTGTCAGTTCATAATCTTTCCTTCTCCCTCTTTCCAAATCACAAACAAATAGAGCAATTTCATCGTTTGGTGCTACTATTGAATGTGGTAATAAGCTATAAATAAAAAAAAAAAAACAGGGATATTAGAATTTTATCAGGGGTACAGCACAATATATTACTAATATACAAAGTATTATCATTGTAGAGTTTATAATCATGTTACAAATCTCATAAGGATCCATTGGCAATTATAAGATATAATCATGTAAAATCTAATCAGGAAAAAATATTTATATTAAAATTAATGCTAATATTAAAAAACAGAATAATTATAACTTATAAAGTTTTTGAATTAATTATAAATTCTTTTTATGTAAGTATATATATTTCTATTCTAAGTATAGAGAAAAAAATCGAGTTAACATATTATTCATGTAGAAAGTACACATAATTTCATAAAATTATTTACATTCTCATTTGTCTGCGAGGCACTTTTGGGACTTTTATGCAAGTCACTTGCACAAATAACGGCTGCACCTCCGTGATTAGAAGATTTCTTTGCGCGTTTTCTTTCAACTGTTCCTGAGTTAAATGGAAAATCGCAGAAATACACTGTGAAATTTGTTTCAACGATAAAAATGTTTCTTCTTCGACAATTTCTACGTCTAAATCCTTTGGTGGTGATTCCTTTGTCTTCTTCATCTCCGAATTCGCTCGTTTTCGCTTTCGCGAATTTTGCGAATCTGAATTTTTTAGTTTCATTTTCTCTATTGTCATTATTTTGCTATCTGTTCCAAGATTGGCACCATTTTCCTTCTTTTTACCAATATTTCTTTTTCTCTCCTCTTGACTACGCGGCTTTCCACGTGTTGGCGTCATCACTGCTTTGAGCTGAGACTTGCAGGCGGAAATGGGAAGTAGACGGAAGTGACGAATTTACACAGTGATACCAATAAAACGAAATTTTGAGCTCTTGCGCAGAGTGTTCCAAAATTTATCCCTTGGAGTAGAGTAGCGTTTGATTCAAGTGAAAACGCAAAAGAGAACAAATCTCATGTCTCATTTTCAATGAAAAAGAGCTGTAATTACACACAAAACGAACCATGAAAGAACAGACCTATGAAATATTGCTGTGTAATATTGCTACTGCGCATGACCAGAATTTTATTCGAACCTGTGTTTTTTTCAACATCTGACCGGATCACCGGATTATAACCTTGAAAGATCTCGTCTTTAATGTTAACTCAATAGAAATCGATCTGGTATTATTTATTATTGTTTTTTTCATATTTTAATACATAATTTTTACTTCCGTTTATCTTAATATATATTATCGAATAATATAATTCACACATATATTCTCAATTAAGTTCATATATATAACTTGAATTGTAACCGACGAGAAACGTACGTGCCGAATATTTTAAAGGAATTTATCAATTTATCTCGAGACACTTGAATAACAGATAATAAATATCAGTGTTAAGTTTTAGGAGGCTTGGAAACATACTCGAGATGGTTTCAATGAAATGTATAATGATCTACGGTTTACTGGTGCCATTCTTTACAATGGTCACTTTACTCTACATTCTCGGGGTCGCGAGATACATCACCGATTTTGAAGAGAATACATGCGAGATGACATACATGTTCGAATACCCACAGTATGTGGTACGTATCGCGCAAGACATTTTATCAGAATGGTCTATTCTCTCTATGGGAGTGGAGATTATACAATATGCTTATCTCTCTAATTCTTATCTACTTGTCTTATCTTTTTTTAACTAGACTTATTACATTTGTTCTCTTTGTTTCTTTATCAAGATGTAAATATGTACTTATTTCATTTATTAAAAGCAAGTTCTTAAACAATTTATTTTATTTCAGAGAATATCTTTGAACAATAATATAGAGGAGAAATATCCGCGATTTGGACTATATGCCTATGGAGAAGGTTTTGTAACAGAAAAATTGAGAAGAATGCATTTTTCTGGAATACCAGTTCTTTTTATACCAGGCAATGCTGGATCTCATGAGCAAGGTTTGTATTAGTTTCTCTGTTATAAAAACATTATAGAAAATCAATTCTATGACAAATCTTTATAGTTATAGAGCATATACTTTAATATATGTATTATTTGCATTTTTCTTTTCTCTTTAGTACGTTCCATTGCTTCAGTAAGTTTAAGAAAAAGCCGAAAGACTCCCTTCCATTTTGATTTTTTCACTATTTCATTCAACAAGGATTATTCTGCATTGTATGGAGGTAAAAATAATACAGATAATATCGATTTGCATCTATATTGATATTTTTGTACATGATATTAATTGTCATTTTTTAATTTTATTAATATAAGGTGTGCTCATGGAACAGACTGTATACGTCTCGCATTGTATAAAGGCAATATTAGCTCTGTATAAGAATAAGATGGATAGTGTTGTGCTGATTGGTCATTCTATGGTAAGAAACACAAGTATATATCTCATGCAATGTGCCTGAGAAATTAATCTGTATTTCTTTCATAGGGTGGTGTCATAGCAAAAGGAGCTCTTTTACTAGCGCCAAATATGAACGCTTCGTTTGCAAGTATTATAATAAACTTGGCTACACCGCATACTCCAGCCTTAGTTCTCGATAATGTGTTCGCCAATTATTATAAGGAATTGGAGAAACATTTGTACAAACTTAAGGATGCAGGAGTGAAGGTAATATCTGTTGGAGGTGGACCGCGCGACATACTTGTAACCGCTGCGCAAACTTACGATCGTACGGCAGATATAAATGTCCTTTCCACGAGTGTACCCGCTGTCTGGAAATCTACCGATCATTTGAGTATTTTATGGTGTAAACAACTGATATTCGTAATCGTACGTGCACTGTTTGATGCTGTAGATCAGTTGAACAAGCCATTTAAAATTGCATCGAATCCTGATTTGAAAATGCAGGCCCTATCTTATCATTTTTTACAAGTAAGTAATAATTGTTTGCAATCTTTGCAATAAGACCATTTCTTCAATACAAAATTGCAATTTCAGCATAGTTCAGGCAAGAAGCTGTATCATTATAAGGAAAAAGTTCAGTTTAGAAACGATAGCGAATGGATAAATATTCCATCTGAGCAATATGTCTGGAGCAATAAGAATGGACCTAAAAAATTGTCTACTGTATATCTGGTGGTAGAACTATTTCACAAATCCGACTTCCTAACCATTGATACGATAAACTTGGAAAACAAGGATTGGCTATTCATGTGCACAGAATCCAAGAAGCAAAATGAAAAAAGAATTTGGTAATACATGAAACTGTATATTATTGCTACAAAAGAAATGATTATTTACTGGTAAAGCTTAATATATACTTTTTAGTGACTGGGGTTGGAATTTGACGAATAATACAAGAATTTTAATAGATCCTTTAAATCGGCTGAGAAAAACTGTTGATTTAGATCTGAAAGAAATAAGTTATATGGGTATTACGCATGTTATTATAAGGATAACCCCAGAAGATTTGAATAAACATCTTACAGTCAGCTTCGATTCCTATTATCACGACACTCGAGTAGAAACTACGAAAAATAAATTCTTTCATCCTAAATATCTTTTCGGCTTCTACGGATCTAATTTGATCGAAACCGTCAAGGGAAATATAAGATATTACGTGACGCTTTCTAACATTATAGACGCGGTTACTATTGAATTAAAATCGACAGATTGCGTCAAACATCATGCTGTTGTCGAATTGCTAGAACCGTGGAATGCAGGATCGACTCAATCGAGATTTTTCATGAATATGTAAGTACATTTGTCGCAGTGATTTAGTTTTGTTATAAGCTCACCCTATATTTTGATTTTTTATAATGCAGGGATGACGGTCCAAAAACGATAAAAATGCAAACTCTTTACGGACGTCGCAACGAAACGGCAAGTTTAAGACTAACATTAGATCCAGAGTGCAGTTATGCGATTAATATTCAACCCAGTGGAATCATCGATAAGATCTCTTGTAGAATACGGGATCGTTGGCCGTTGCTTTATCTAGCGATTATCAGCTTACTTTTACTGTTCGTCTCAATAAGGATACATAGTTCAGACATGCTACCAACTGTAATTGTTACAATAGTATTGTCTTTTTTTTTCAATGTTACTTATGAAGCTTGCATTGCTTTATGTATCATCAGCATGTCTGCCCTTGCTGTATGCTGCTGTGTCATATTTCTTGGTTCTGTTGCACATGGAATAGCTGTCAAGTAAGAAATTTTCTATTTACATTGAAGTAAAAATATGTTCCCGTAAAATTATGTAATCAGAAAATTAATTAATAATGATAAGATATATGGATAAAAGTTTTATATATATATATTTTTTTTTTTTTGGCAGATTTTTAGCACGTGCAATAACTTTCTCAACAACATGGTCAGATTGGTTACTGAACGGTCTAAACCAGCTACCATTTATTACAACTATTCTCGTATTATCCCTAATTCCAGCAACATGCGGGGCTCTGGCTATGGTTGTTTCAGTATTTTTGTATTTTTTGAAATTAACAAGAATGTACGAAGATTATTTGGAGGAGATATTAATGGCCTCGCTGCAGCATTTTGAGTGGTTTAAACGTTTTAAGAGTGTAAGAGAAGAAAACGATAGAAACACCAGTCAAAAAATATATAATCATCTTATCTTGTTTCTATTGTGGACTTTTGCTGCAGTCCCAGCAATTCCATCTGTCTTAGTTTGGGCGAAAAATTTCAGGTATGTGTTTATTATAAATTTTTCAATTTAGAATCACAGATAAATGTGACTCATATATTTTAACGAGAATGAATTAATATACAGCTACGACATGAGACTCACTTCAGAAGATCCTGTATTTCTAACAAGCTGGATAATATTAACTACGTGTAGTACATTGGGTATTGTACACATCTACCCTAAGAATGAGGGAATTTGCTCGCTTATATTAAGCAGCGTATTACGTCTTGCGAGCTGGGTCATTCTTTCAATGACGGCAGCTCCACGTCCATTCTTTTATCACTGGTGTATGCCACCTATCACAGCCGCAGTAGTAACACTCATCACACTAAATTCTATGATTCCTAAAACTAGTCTATCTTATTAAGAAGTAATAACTTGCAGAAACATTACGTTTATGTAATTCTTCTCACCATCCATCAATAATTTTGTATAAAAAGATCTGAACTCATAGCCATGACTATATGTTATTTAAAATTTATTATGTTTCGAATATTAGATTGAGAAATGTAAAAAGTGTTATAATAGTGGCATACATGTGAGAGTATTATTTTGTACAAAAGTAGTCAAAATATGTAATATGTAATAAGATTCTCTTTAAGGCAGCTTATTTAACGACACTTTAAGAATAATTGTGATTTAAGGCAGCTTATTTAACGACACTTTAAGAATAATTGTGATTTAAGGCAGCTTATTTAACGACACTTTAAGAATAATTGTGATTTAAGGCAGCTTATTTAACGACACTTTAAGATTAATCAGAGGATGTTTATATACTATAACGCAAGATTCGATTCTTGTTGTGATATATGTAGGTATAGTATAAAATAAGTATACGTAAATTTATTTTTGTTGATATTAATATAATTTATTAATGAAAAAATCTCGTCATTAATTTATAACATTATTTAATAACAATATTATATATACAGTATTTAGCTATGTTATCTAAATTATTATTTTGTACGTTTGCTCATATGGCTGTAACAATGCCTCTTTATATGCATCATTGTTATTAAAATTTCGATTTCATTTTATATATATAAATATATCTCTCTTTTCTGCATAGAAAATAGCTTATTCTACAAATGTAGCTCCAACATCTATGTTTTCTACACTGTACACACATATCTGTTTTTTGGAAATAGGGTGTATCCCATAATTTGCAACCATGCCCATTTCATGTCGCAAAAAATCTACTATTTTTTCCGCTAGAGTTTTATTATTTGCATGTACTTCTGGATGCTGCATGAATTCAGTCAACTGGGGAAAAAGACTTGATATTTATAAAACAGTTATATAACAATTTGAGATAAAACATGCTGTGCATTATATTAGTATATTGCAGTACAATTTAATATATTGAACAATTGTGATATATTTTGTTAAAATTATATATAAATATATCTTGGTTTGGATTTGATACACAAGGAAAGAATCTTATAACCCTCATTGTACCTTCATCCATCTGCATTCTGAAATTTCCCTCTTACATTTTTGAATCCTAAAATTTTGAGGAGTTAGATATGCAATCATGTATATATCCGAGCATCCAAATAAATAATCGTGTCCATGTCTAAAAGATACAAGGCACTTGAAGTCTGCCTGAATTCCCGTTTCCTCAAAAACTTCTCTTTTGGCTGCTACTTCAATATCTTCTCCTAACAATTAGATACAAATGTGTATGTATACATATATATGGCGATAAAACTAAAAAACATGTCTAAAAGATACAAGGCACTTGAAGTCTGCCTGAATTCCCGTTTCCTCAAAAACTTCTCTTTTGGCTGCTACTTCAATATCTTCTCCTAACAATTAGATACAAATGTGTATGTATATACATATATATGGCGATAAAACTAAAAAATATACACGATTGCTTCTATAAAAATACCTGGCTCTACATAGCCACCTGGAAGCTTCCAGGCTTTACTGAGACCATATTTCTCTTTAATGACAAGGATTTCATTAGTATCCTTGTTGAATACAAATGCACCAACACCTAAGAATGTATGTGCGTATCTTGGAATATTGCACTCTTCATCGTTGGGCAGCCAACGATATAGCATGACATATCCTTCTTTTGCATGATGAAAGATAAATCCCTGTCCTGTTAATATCGGAACCCATTCCGTGTTCGATAAATGTACGCGAAACCAAACAGCGCGTTTTTTATCCTTAGTCCATTGCTCTAGAGAATCTATATATAAAGACATTTATAAATTATATGAATCTCTATTTTTTTTTTGTCGCCATCCTATATATAATTTATTTTCTCCAATATCATTTGACAGAAAAGAATGAAATATAAGACTCGCCAACGCTTTCATTTAATTGTAAAATGCGTTTCACCAAGTAACGATTTTTAAAAAGTGGATCGATTTAAGAGAGAAAAGCTTCTCCATACAATTATTAATATCTTCATTTATAGAGATATAAAATGCGTCCACCTTTGAGGCGCTGAGCGAATATTTTACTGTCACAGGCCTCCTCGATCGAATCGATCGTGACACCGTTGTATTGATCGTCACGACCCTTGAAGATTTGCTTAGCCATTGCGGTTTTCAACACGTCCAATTGTCCGTGATGCGTGCTGTACCGGGAGCCCGGGAGAAAAACGATCGTGTTCTTTAGTGACGATCGCCCTTTGAATGTTTTCGTAACGCGAAACAATATCGCGGTTGACGCCCTTTTCATCGAACACGATCGAGTCTCAAGTCTCAAGCGATTATAGAGCAATCTCATACTTGTAGATTGATAACAGTACGATTGCAATAACAATCTTGCATAAGAAGCGCACGTGAACGATTTTTCTCATTTTTTCCCATCATTTGCGTTATCGTTCACTGATAATGGGACCTTAATGTGTCAAATTTTCTTCATGGATTTATGATAAAATATTTTTTTTTTCTGTCGCTGAGAATTGCGGGACGAAACTCTATCAACTTCATTGATTCGGCATTGAAGATTATAACGATAATATATACGTCCGCATATATTACGAAATATTAATATTAATCACGTCATAAATAAGGTAGACGAGGTTAAAAAATGTGTCAAAGGGGAATTCGATATGCGAGAAAAAAAATATTTGACGTCATTTAGGGCCTATCCAGATAAAGCTTGCGTGACGTATATGCATAGAGAGATCAAACTTTTCGCGTTGGTTTCATTTTCAAACGGACCAATCGCCGTGACTTCACGGTTGAAGGAAGAGCCAATCGAAACGCCGGACAAATTATCCAAGCGGTTTAACATGCGGCGTAAAAATGCGACAATTAAACACTCTTTAATTTTTTATTCATTGGCAAAAATTCAAGTTTGAATCGTATAACGTATGTATTTCCAAAGAAACTTATTGAGTAAAAATCGAGAATTATATATATTTGTTATACATGTTATATTTATTCTACATGTCTTATACATGATATTTATTGTTATAGGTCAAAGGCACGCATAATGGATCGAGTAATCTTATCGGGACGCTACACGAACACTGTAAATAAGAAATACCATTGGAATGTGCCAGAACGCCATTGTTACTGAAAGGTAATTAAATATAGAAAAATAAAAATATTATGATAGGAATAAATATAAAAATGCAGAAATATATTTTTCGTGTTTATATATACTTAATTATTAATTAATTTACACAAATGTATAAAACTCATACGATATATATATTTACTTAAACTATATATAGAGAGAAACAGATATTTTATGTACAATAATATTTAATTTAGAATAAGATATCTAAGATATTTAATTTACAATATGTTCACATACATATATTTTATATTATGTATATTTTTTATTATGTATAGATATTAACCAGTGTTGCTAATGTTATGATTTTAAAATTGATTTTCAGCATACTCGTATATCTTCGGGCAATGCTGTTTAACGGTCATTCTGTAAATTGCCACAGCGTCCGTTTTAATGTTCCGGTTGTGATCTGTCCACAAATGAATCGTCGTTGCGTTTTTCATTATCTTCATTTCGTCCACATTTCGTGAATAAGGAAGCATAGGATAGAATTTCTCCGGTGGATAAATCGTGAACTGCCGACATTCTTTGTTCTGCGAAAACAAGGTATTATTCAAATTAATAAACAAGGTATTATTCAAATTAACTTAATTACACATCGTAAAGTCGAGAACTTATCTGAAACCGCAAGTTATCCGTTGCGGTTTTTTTTCCCCGCATATATAAATTATTCATGGTATCATATCTAAATTGCCTTGGCATATTAGTCATTCACGTTAATTATTCGATGCGTTCTAACGTAACGAGATCTATTAAATTACGACACGCTCGAACGAGCAGCATCGATAAACATATTTATTGTCGATCACGCAATGATACTGCGTGATCACGCGATGGAAAAATTATTCTCTTTTTTGTTTGTGATTCGTATTATAAAATTGAGAAATATTTAGAATATGTTCCGCATAAAAATTGAACTATGACACTTGTTTAAAAAAAATAATATTTAAAAGATAATGGAATTATAAAATAATTGAATTTTTCAACTTTTTATTTATTACGAGATACGAAATTTGATAGTATTACATTATGAAGTAAAAAATTATTAAATTAATAAAAAAATTTGTTTATTCTTTTTTCTAAAATCTTTTTATATTAATTATAATTTTTTTTTTGTATTTAATGCATATATTATAAAATAATTGAATTTTTCAACTTTTTATTTATTACGAGATACGAAATTTGATAGTATTACATTATGAAGTAAAAAATTATTAAATTAATAAAAAAATTTGTTTATTCTTTTTTCTAAAATCTTTTTATAAATTATAATTTTTTTTTTTTGTATTTAATGCATATAATAAATAATATATGTAATAAATAACACTATTCGTGTAAAATATTAAAAATAACGGTTTTCAATCTGTACAAAAAATTTTTCAATATATGAAAAATTTATTTTTAATCTGTGAAAAAAATATAACTTTATCTTCTTTTTCGCCTATAACGTTGCTTTTACATTGTAATAAATCTTTGTGTACTCACGTCTCGCTGATAACAGAGTTCTTGCAGGACTTCAGTTATAACTCTTGTGATATTGTATCGTGAATAGCTGTCCGGGTTGATATTTTTAATAACTTCTATACATGCGTTGACAAAGTTTTTGCCAAAATTCGTACTCGTATCGACGCCAAATACACCGACGTCCGTATTCCGGTTATCTTGCACACCCGCGAAAGTAGTCAACTCGTCCAAAGATCTAAATATAAATTTTTACATTTATTTATTTACATTATTTACATTTATTTACATATATTTATTTATCAATTATTGCATCTTGCGACAAGTTCTATAAACATTCGAATATTAATACTTGTTTATAGTCACGCATAATAAATTTCCGTGAAATATCTGACATAGATTTCTAAGATATATTATTCTTACTAGCATATTAATGGGAGAAATATTAAAAAGAATTGTCTCAATTTTATTTGCCATTACCGAATTTATTTTGTGGCCTTCGATTATAGAAATGATTGCGATAACTCACGTCAGCACTATGCTGTTCAGATTCAAAACCACGCCGCCGAACTTCCACAATGTCAACATCCGGATATAATCGTGAAAGCCTTTGTACAGCCAATCGTGATTTTCTGAAAATTCTCCAAGGTTTATCAAAAACCAGTTCTCTAACGGCGTATCGATAACGTATCTCGACAAACGTACTCTCCTTATGTACACATTATCGTATGTTTGCAAGATATCGACGAACGCTTGGGATGTCTCAGAAAACTGGCCGGTTGCGAAGAAAAGCACGAAGACATTCAAATTGCGGTTGTTCCTGGCTGCCGATTCTACGGCGCACGCTTGTCGAGAAGTGAGATATGGCGGTGAACAACTGGTCTTGTGAAAGAATATGCATCTACTTGGTATCAGCATTTCTGTATCTGGAAAATATATAAAAGCAAGTATGTATACTCGAATAAATTTCCGAACAATTTTATCCTTTAAACTGAAATATTTACATAAAAGAAATATTTAATCAGAGACAATATCCGACTTTTGAAATTCCTTCATGCATTCGCCATAATTCTTCAAAGTAATAGTGTAAAAATAATTTTGCAAATTATTTTATATTCTATAAAAAACATTTACTGTACAATTAAAAGATTTTTAAGTTATACAATTGAATTTCAGAGATTGATATTTCGATTTAAGGATTAAATATCGTGTAGAAAGATTTTCTCGATGTTTTTTTTTCTTTAAGAAAAAATGCAATATTAAAAATCATATCTCAAATCACAAAATATTCTTTTGTGAAAATATTTCTCATTTCGCAAAAATATTCACAGCAATATGAATTACCGCGACGGAAATATTACATTGTAACATAAGACTGTATCCTTTGTAACTATACGAATGGATATAATATTACATCGCATGCACAGTGTCATAAATTCATCTAATGTTACACTCAAAAAAGTGGTATTGCAACTACAGCAAAAATTTTCTGGGTGCGCAAAATTAACTGAGGTACATAAATGATTAGCAAATACTGTGATATCGCATATGTTTCGCATTTAATCAATCTAAGTGACAGAGACACACTTTATATCTGAACTGTTTGTGAAATTTAGAAAGAATGTTTTTCTGTGGCGCCTATCCATGTTAAGGCCAATCATACTTGTTATAAAGTTTGGCTGTGGTACACAGAAAAAATTAGCGGCAAGAAACAAATGAATATATAATCCTCACATCTAACATATTTGTATAACGCGCCCAATCTATCTAGCTCTTTTAAACAATTTCTCTCAATTTTTCGATGCTGCAGTTATAATTGGCAGTTATATTTCTCACAAAGATCGTTCTAGCTGTAGTATCGAAACTCATATTTATCCAATGCAGTGATTAACATTTGGCAATGGGACCTAAATTTTCTAGAAGATATTATTAGAATATTGCTGCTATAAATTCTATATGTAACAGACAATATTCTAACAGATACAAAAAATAGCGATAAATTTTAACCTAGAAATCTACCTATATCAGCAAGACATTTTTTTGAGTGTATACAAGCCGCGATATTAGAATTGCAAGCAGCAACAAACATAGCGCTGCAAACATATGTTCATTCAATGTTACATAAAAGGCAATATCTTTTGTTATTGCCAATAATACAACTACGTGATTCGTATGAAGCTCTTTTATAATTCTATGCAAAAATAAGTTACGCAAATACAATTATATAACATGTCTAGTACGATCTACGATCGCGTATTTCTATTAAACCCGTATCACACTACGCATTGCGGACGCAGATCGGATTCGGATTACGGACTGCAAATCGTCGACCATCTAATCAGAGCAAAGTAGCCAAGAATCTGATTGGGTGATTAACGATTCACAGTCCGTAATTCGAATCCGATTCGCATCCGCAATGCGTGACACGGCCTTTACTGTCAATCTTGCCATTAGCATAAATGAATAATTGCATATAAGTTTCCCAGTAGCATATAGATCAAGGACTTTGAGAGTATATCTCAATTAAGAAAAATTATCTTACTTATTGTTAGGTATTGTTTTTTTTTACAATCGATAGTTTCGTTTTTCCAAGTTTACACGATAATTTTTTGAACAATTATAATCTAATCTAATTATTGAATGTATCTATAATTGTGTAAAAAATATATACTAAAAAAATGTATTTCTCGAAGAAAGGCCGGATATATTTTCTTTAAAGAATATCGTATTTGAAAAATATACAAATTATAATGCTATTTATTATCAATATGACGAGCTATCATATATACTTCAAAAGTTTATTCATCAAAAATTGTCAATATAGGGCTCTAAACGTTTCAAAAGTCCGCAGTATGTTTGATATTAAAATTCATCTTCCATTAAATAGCAGATTCTTTTTCCGCGTGCTCCTAAGATCGTTATTTTAACTTGGAAGAGGAGAGGGACATCTCCATTTTTCGCTTCTTCTCACTAACCCCATTCTCCTTGCTCGAGTTCCATGATACCATCGGATCTGCTCCAGTAGCAGTAAAGTTGGTTGGATGAGACGACGCCTGTCAGTTCCATCGACAGTTCCCTCCAAAATACACAGACAATGGCCGTTAATCCGAATAGGGGACATAACATAAAAAACGCGCGACGTTTCTTCATACTTTGCAGATAACTTTGCCTGTCTCGCGGTGATTACACTGTAAACTCGTCAAAGTTTATGACTTATTTACACGGAACAATTAATAATTAATATATGTATAACGCAACCGGTATATAATTGTTGTATATAATCTCTTGTGAAAGAGATCAGCGTGATACTGCGTCTTTGCAAGTGGGTGGGAAGCCAATAAAGAGGAAGAAGAATCTTCCACGATGAGTGTGCAGCAAATATAGCTTTCCGCTGCTCGATTATAACTAATTTCATCGTAATATCTGGCAGATATCTCTATCAAATATCTTTCAAACGATATGCGAATGCAAAACCAGATATAGTTTTATTTCGACGATTTTTTATATTTTTTGTTTAGGGAAATGTCGATTTGTGCATCAAGCAAAGCTAATATTTAGCAGCAATCTTTTAATGTTAATATAATTTATATCGCTTAACATAATTTCTCTATTAATATTAGAAATGTATTGTGGATTTTAAGCACTATGACAATTAGTCTTTCGCACGAAAAACATTTGAGAAAGAATTGCGAAACTAATTAATCGTGTTTCTGTTATAAAGAATCAATTATTCGAGTCATATGTTGTGGTGATGATGAGTCACATTGAACAATTAATTTTTCAAGATCGAAAACAACATATAATCTGATGCACGCAAGATAACTTTTTATTTCACAATTTCATATAATTATCCATAAAACTTTGAGGAAATATCGTAAATTTATAGATGTAAGAAGTGTGTGCGTAGTTTCGAAGAAGGTACATTTATCAAAAAATATATAAAGCTGTAAAACTTTTAAAGATAGAGAAGTTGACGGAGAAAAATAAATCTTTGTTTGGATTTTAGTCTTTCTTATTGTGCATGCACATATAACTTGAAAAACAATCTATCGCGCGTGCTTAATAGATCTTGAAACATTCCATTGGCATTATTAATATTCTCGGAAGCGCGAAGATTGACCGAATGAGATTCCTTTCGCATGAGATTTTCATTACGCTTTTTCCTTCAAAGTATTTCAAAACATACTAGTCATTATTAAATTATTTTGTTAAAAATAGCACATCTAAAACAATGTCAAATGCGAAATTGACTTTTCGTGTGTATATATAATTATTTAACAACTTAATATATAGTAATTAAATAAAATTTAAATTTCTACATATACACAGTGAAATAATAGCAATTAGTATCTTAATTATTCAAACTTTTGGAATGATTTTATCTTCATATTTTTATATGCAAAATATATACAGCTAGAAAATCGATATAAATAATTATTATTTCTTTAGTTTAAAATATAAAGCCTTTATATCTTCAACTTCGTACATAAACAATTTTTCGTTATTATATAACGTAGCGTTTTCTCTGTCTCTACATTCCAATTTTTGTTTGATAATTTTTCTTCTAATTATATATCATTTCAGAAATAATCAAAGTATTAATTGTTATTGATTTATTATTTATAAAGAATTAACAAAAAAGTCAAAATTAGTATAAAATGTAATGAATAAAAAAGGGAGAAGTATCTACATGTATTTTATTAATAATCGTACAATATATCATTATTATATTCTATAGAAAATCAAATTATTATGAAAATAAAATCAGCTATATTGACTATTTTAAATAAACAAATGATCTAAGATTAATCCAGTGCAGCTTTTAAATGAAAAATTTCTTAATCTAAACTTCTTCATATAATATTTGCCGTCCACACATACAAGTTAAATCCCATTTCAATTGCGTATCCCGAATATCTTGTGGAAACAACGTGCTTTCACAAAAATGTGCTTCACAAACAAAGTGCTTCACTTCAAAAACATTTCGCAGTTAGCTCAATTTTGTTTACGATTAAAGAATCAAAGATGAATTCCGGAATTTCCTTCAAATTCCGGAAGCAAAATTGTGTTGATTAAAGGTTTGTTCCTTCTTTGAAATCAAACATGATTTTCGTTTGAAACGTATTTCAAGAAAATGCATTATTTTCAAGATATTCGCAAAACGGGAAACTGAATATTCTTATATAAATACAAGTATATTCAGAGATCAAATAAATCTTCAATTCTTTCAAGAACTTATGCTACGTATCTCTGTACAATGTAGAAATAGATTAAATATTAGATTTCGAACATTAGAAAACATTTTCTTATCATACATTTGAGATACAAAATTGATAAAATTCTTATTCAACTCAAATTTTGAATTTGTTTATATTGCGCTTGCAGCTTTAGTTTTGTAACATGTATGTGAAATAGTACAAAGGACTAAATTTTATATTTTTCCATGTTCGACTCTTAACTTCTCTGGATCTTTTAAGTACTGAATTTAATCAAATTTATATTATACTTTATGTAAAATATAAGAACATAATTTATATGTATGACCAACAATTTAACAAGATTTTCAACCAGTTTACACCCTAATAATTTGAAACATTAATTATTGACACATCGAGTTAAACTGGCAAGTTGCCATTTGTAATACTCGATTTCTATATATCTTTAAATCAAGGATATGTGTGTATGATTGTTGATTTTCCTATTCAATTATTAAATAAGAACAAAGAAAATATTTATTACTACTAAGATCAAACTATATGCAACAGAAAAACGCAAAGAAAAACTTATAAAAAATGGATATGTTACAATATAGATATATTGCATGTTTTGTAAAATCGGTCTTTTTACAAAAAAGATAGATTTTACAAAAAGCCTGTAGATTACCCGATAAATATGCACGAAACACATTTATCGTGAATCTCGGTTATAAAAGAAATTATCGCACAGCCATAATATCAATACTATCGCAACATTTGTATTGAGTTTTTATGCGATGAGTTAAAATGAGATATATCCAGTGACGTCGTTTTTTTGCAAGATCAGCGAAGTATAGTCGGGTATTTAAACTTTGCATATTCGCAGCAAATTATATATTCGAAACAGTAATATCGATATTAATAATATTCACAGCACAATAAAATCAAAGAATTCATTTCACACAAGTGATCTAACTCGTTTTGTTAAGAACTCGAGAAAATTGATTCCAGATTTAAACACATTTATGAACACAGAAGAAGTACATAATTGTTTGATTAATTCTCTCAAATTCTTAGAAAATGGGATAAATTACACTGCTGTGCGCCGAAATCTTTGATTATAATAATATTAATATTAATATTAATATTGATATTAATATTAATATTATCAATAATTAGTTATTTTTCATAGTTTGTACTAGTGGATTATAGTTTTTGTAGCTGCATTCGTCGGATGTGACGCCGATTTTTTTATTATATATATATATAATAGATTCAGACGAAAACATTGGGCTTACTAAATTAACCGTTGTCTTTTTTATGCTGACAATGAGCAATTATCTATTCCGCTTTAAGAATACTAATCCGTCAATTAATATACTATTCGATACTAGAACAATCGATATAACGTATCTTGATATAAAATAGATCAATCTCCAAGAATTGTATGCACGCATAAACGATACACACTTAAGACAATTATTATTGGAAATTTATTCAGCGAGGATAATCCTTTATAATGATTTTGCGGAGATTTTCGCTCGCTAAGATGTTTTTATTGAGCATAGAGACTAACTTTATTATAGAATTTTATTTGAATAATTTTATGATCAAAATGGCTTTCCTTTTACTATATAATCTAAATGCGAAAAATACAATTGATGAGTCTCTTCAGTAGTAAAAATAGACTTTTCCGCCTTGATGGCGTAAGAGGAATGATTTGTTGGCTTGTACAAATGAGCAATATGCTATCAATATGTTACACTATCGAGGTCATCATGTCAATACAAGATACATACGACTTACGAAGTGACATTACACGCAGCACGATTTATTATTCAATAAATTGCGGGAATTTGTGATAATACTTTGTTAGAACGATATAAGGTCTGTTCTTTATAGCTAAAGTGATTACTTGCACTAGTCGAGAGTTTATATTTTTCTCTCCACATTGGAAGGAGAAAGATAAAACTGAACTAGTGCAGCCAGTTCAGCTATAAAGAACAGACTTATAGTCTCTCGGACATCGTTATAAATATACGCTTTATCCTTATGTATAAGTATTGCGGGATCATTAGAACACTTTTCTAAATCAGCCTTTTTCTCGTTTAACACATTTGATTCGGCAAACCCTTGACTCATCGCGTCCTTTCTTAGTGCCAGATAAATGCATTTTTTTCTACAGAAATTGCGTGGTTCGTGTGGATTTTTCCTATATTGTTCTATCAGTCAAGCTTCCGTTAATTACCTCTATAACTATACTTGGATTCAAAATATTTTACCACAGTTGTCGAAAACGTAAGGACAATAATTCCGCGCAACAATGGCGTACGGCACGTGACTGTTCACTCGCACCTGTTCAGCTTTACTCAACTTGTTCCACACGTGAATAGCCTTCGCCTTGCTCAGTATCTTCAACGTCGCATTACTGTCCTTCGTGTCGAAATATTTCCTCCATTTCTTATAGTGAATCGGATAAAAGACCGACGGCGGATATACCGTAAAACCGCGGCAACGGTCGGTCGTCATATCGCGCGCCTATAAAGTAAAGTATAAAAATATTTTTTTCTTAGATTATACATTGAAGAGAATTTATACATTTACACATATATACAATACAGATTGTTTCAAAATTAAATCATCAAACATCGCCAATACTTTTCAAAACTAGGATAAAACTGCCAAATAATAAATCATTATCATCATAATAGATCATGCAATTGATAAGGTGCAACAGAGATAGGGTAGAAATAAAACATAAATTATTAACAATTAGCAAGATATGAGAATACGCACGTATGCGAGAGATTTCGCCAGATTAGAAATCCATATGAAAAATTACAATGTTACACACGAGATGCGTTCTAAATGATTATTTATAGCGTTATTGTCTGTTATCTCAAAATGTCTGTGTTTGCAATTTGCTATTTGCGTTAAGATACAGTATCTTCTCCGAGACTTGTTAATATTTAGAATGCATTTTGTAAAACGTAAAATACTATGCAAAAACGGATTACGCCGTTCGTTAATAACGCTTTCAACAATCATGCTTTAATTTCATAATTAGCAAGTTGTCAAAAATTGACTGAATTTTTGGACAATTTTTTTTTGCAAATTTGATCCACTGTGATTTAAATCGGCATCTTTAAAAATATAATAGACTATATCCGCCGGACGAATCAATTTAATGGAAGGTGTCTCCTATTTATCTCACTAACTAATGCATTTTATTGTTTACTTTACGTATATTAGCGTTTGTTTAAACAAGGACTAAGTAAATGTATAGTTGTTAACGTCACGAAATGACATATTCAAATTAATCCTATCAGTTTATCATTTCTGTATAAACACTTGTATTACACTTGTCGAACAGATGTCAGAGTCATACACAATTATTCTTAAATAATTTATTTATTCATTCATACATAATTTTTAAAACCACCTGTTCATTTAATTTTTGTCAAATACGTCAAGATTATTGATATTTATTTTATTTCTTCGAAAATAGATAAACTCTTTTTTTAAGAGATTAAGAAAATTGTCAATTAAAACTTTAAATTTAATTTTAATTGGTTTTCTCTCGAGTGCCGTTGGAAGAGACGCAATTTAAAGTTATAAATATTACCGATAATATGCAAATATATTTCTAAATTGTATCTAAAGTAGGTTCTTGCAAATCAGTAAATATTGCTAATTAATTAATCAATATTTCTGGACCTTTTTCAGAAATATACACTTGTGCTACACTACAATCCTTTCAATACTCACATTTATTGTCCCACAAAGCTTCTGCAAAGTCCTCGTGATAACCCCGGGTCCGTTGTTGCCCCAGACATCGCCGCGGAAGTTCTTCTTGAGATCGCGCACGCAGGCATCAGCCACGCGTCGACCAAGCTCCGACATGTCGAAGCCCATGACACCGGCGGCGACATCGTCCCAATCCTCGGCACCGGCGAAATTCGTCAGATTTTCGAGCGAACTGGTGACCACCACGTCCAGGTCGAGGTAGATACCGCCGTACTTCCACAGAGTCAAATAACGCAGCATATCGGACATGTGGCTGACGGGCCAGTGGCTCTTCTTCAGCGCGCCGCTGGTGTACCATGCCTCCAACGGCGTGCCCTTCACGTATCTATCCGGATAGATGTGCCGGATCTTGATATTACGATAATTGAGCAGGTGCCTGATGATCTCGTGCGTGCTGTTGGAGAATTCGGATTTACTGACGAACAGTAAATACACGGTCATCGTCGGGTTCATCCGCGCCGCAGATTCCACGGCGCAGGCTTGCCGGGCGTTCAGCACGAAACCCTCCTCACCGAAGCAGGAAGTCTCGTGGAAGAAGATGTTCCTTCCTGGTGTTGGTTTGTCGACGTCTGAAGCATAACGTGTAAAACATGAACGATTTTTTTCCACAAATGCCTATATTAATATATATCAAAGATTTTAGTTACTAGATATATTTCCACAAACTAAGCAACAGATCAGAACGTGTTGAGATTAATTATATAGAAGTCAATTTTTTATGTTAAATGTGATAAAAATAAAATTAATTGGTATAACTAAAGATAAAAAATATTGAAGCTTTTTTCAACATTTTTTTTCGCTGGTACGCATAAGTATTTTCAGATTTTTCAAAAAACCCAGACAATCTCGCTGCGTTGGAATCGTTTAAAAACAACTTGAGACACATTAAACGCAGAAAAATATATTGCTTGGAAATTTACGCAAAAGTGAATAAATCCTGTAATACTGAATATTATCGTTATCTGATTCTGTAAAATCAAACAAAAATATGATGCATTGCTGATAACCAAATGGTAAGATGCATCTAGACTTAATTTAAAAATATCGGTGGATTTTTCTGCACGCACAAGACATTTTGAATGCGAATAATTAAGGATTTTCAATTAAAGATGTGTTTAAAATCAGTTATTATAATAGATTTCATTACTATAATATATTTTATCGCGCATTTTGTAGTGCATCTCTATCTTCAAAGAGACATTGGACTATCCTTTATTGCTTTTTATATTACGTCTTTCTTGCACAATTCTACATATCCTATATATATATAAGATAAGCCATTCGTGCTAGAAAAATCTAACTATATATATATATATATTATAATGGTAATATTGCGTCGCTGAGCGTATCAAAACAGGAAAATAAAGCGTCAATGATTAACTTGAATAATTATTTGCACGATCATCAGTAATTAAAATACGTAGTTAGATTTTTCTAGCACGAATGGCTTATCTTTCTGAAACAATTTTTTAACCACAGTTGAATCGTTTTTAATTTCAAAAAATTTTAAAATACTTTTTTTTATAAAATATTATAAAGTAAAATAATAAATATTAGAGAGTAATAAATTTTAGTTTTATGAATATTTCTAGATTTTTAATTAATAAAAATTATACCATTGGAAAAATTATAATAACGAAAATTTATATGTTGTATTTTCTGCTATGTATAACTTTATATATCAAGAAAATTTTTCAAATGAGATATCTAAAGTAAATCTTATGACGGAATTGATGCATTTTTATGTTTAAAGTTTCTCAAATGTGTAAATATAGTGCCTAGTGTCTATAAGTATCTGAAATCGCATATTTCAAGTATAAAGTCCGTAAATTATGTATTTGCTCCACTTTATCGATTTTTTGATACAAAGAAAAAATAACAGTAATTGTCATATTACTAATTACTTGATTCTGGATCGAAATCATAGATGCCATCTGCGGACGAGGTTTCATCATAGCATCTGATATCGTTGATCGTCGACACGTCGAGGAAAGGTATCCTTTGGATGATGTTGTTCTCAGTCGAGATCATGAGGATGAGGAGCACGACGGCGAAGGCGAAGCCGCATAACAGTAATCTCTTTTTCATGTTTGCGAATATTTTCATTGAGTTGCGCTACCGAGATAAAATTATCAATTTATGTGTCATGACGTGTTTCGAATACAATTTTCTACATTTTTATCTTTATATTCTTCAAGAGACGATACGTTCTTTTTTCTCATACGAAAAAAATCTAAATTACAATGTTCCTGATATAAAAAAATACACGTGTAAGAAAAAAATCGTGCGAGACGATGAAAAATGTGTTCGACTCTATCTCTATAAATATATAATTAATTATTTTAAAGTAAAATAATATAGAAATGAACCTTTTTGACAGAAGATAACACACAAGTGGAAAGATCGCAGATTTATTTTTAATATTGTATACAAAAAAAGATCGTAGAATGGCTATTGTTAATTGGTTAATCCGTAATCTCCCTTTTTGTATATGTTAATTAGAGTAGTGCCAAAGTATAAATGTATGAGTCGTGCATGCGTCTCGCATGTCACGCATGCAAACAAAACTGTTCGTAATGTTTAAAAGATCTGAATTCGAAAGAGGGAAAATTGAAGATTAAATTATTGCCTATGATAATGCAATAACCTAATAATAACCTAATATTGCCTATGATAATGCAATAATCTAATCACTAGATTGTATATATAATGATTAGATAGATTGTAACAACACCCAAATCGCACGATATTGTACCAAGATGCTCTTGACGTAAAAAGGAAAACACGTGGAAACGTGAAAAATTCATGTTAATAAAACATTGAGCGAAACCGTCTATTTCTAGAAAGCAAATTAAAAGCGTCCTGTTTAAAAATATTAGAAAAAATATATATCGTAGAATTATTTTCTGCAATATTGCAAATTGTAGCACAAATACCTGGTTCACAGCGCTCGTTCATAAGCTTGTCTCTTCGTTTTTATCTTCACATAAATCTCTCTTGTGTCGTCCGGTAATAAGAGTCGGCCTCCAATCATCACGTTCCAATAGAAATGTGATATACAATATACGATGCGCTATTATTTTTTTTTCTCTTCGTTTTACCATACGATATTTAATACTTATGACACGTAGTATATTTGTATTCATGTAACGAAATCGCGCGTTTGCTTTTCCTGTCTTGCGTCACGTCACGCTATGTTACAGAATCTCGCGATGAGACAAAGATTAAATCCGTTAATTACATATGAAATGTCGATCGTTTCCCGAATTTTTGTTCCTCTTTTTTCCATTTGGAACGCGTCGTTTCGCGTGTGAAATCTCGCACTAGAATAGAACTTCGAATGCGTTAAGAAAAAATAGATAATATTTTGTTCCGAGAGTAGAGCTCGAGACAGCGAGAGTACTCGCTCATGTCTATTAATACTCAATACTATCGTACAGTACTTTTATGCGACAGCCGTGAACGTCGCTGTCGCCGGCTTTGCCGTCGACTGATATGCGGAATATTGCCACAAGATGATATCAAGTTAATTGATCGTTACTGATTATGTTCATTATCGTCGTCAATGATTCGGCGACGTTTCTTCCCCCGGAAAGTTCCGGAGGGTTATTGCTGAACTCGGTCGCATGACATACACGTCAGGATATTTTCACCCTCGTATACTTCTTTCCGCCACCCGTATCGATCGTCTCGCTGACAATCGACGTGATTCATGACGGATTTTCAGGAATGAAACGAATCGAGGCCGCGATAAGTACAATAATACTGTTTGCACAAAGACAGATGTCCTTCCCGACGTGATCACATATCACGACTACTTGAAACGACTTCGTCGATGGACACAGATCGAGTATCATCCCTCTGCTGCTGATAGCTCTATAATGAAATATATTTCCGACGCATGCGTAAGGACGACGACGGCAACGGCGGCAACGGGGACGCGTGACTACGCATGTGACGTGACGCTGTTTTGTTACTCTTTTCCTCGAGAGTCCGGATCTTGGCGAGAGATTCGCGGGTGTTTGACGACGCGTGTAAACACGTCGTCGTATGATTGACAAGGCGATATAAAATGTAGCCGATGATAATGTACAGATGACATATTCGGTCCAATTTTCACCAAGCGGCTTTTATTGTCAGTTAAAATTATACGTGTACACTGCTAAATTGTATTTTTTGCTTTCGTCTACTGTATATTGTGCTCGTATCATATATTACAGCTATGCATCCTCGAAAACTACACACGAGGGCACAAAATCGCTTTTCTTTCTAATTATTTGTCACTTATAGATAATTAGATGTACAGGAGCTCGGAAGGCGCTGATATGTCGGGATTCGTTCGGTCGTAGCATCACGCAACGGGGGTGATATTCAACTTCTTCGCATCGTCCATGAGTTTTTGCACCATCGCCTGCCATTCGTCGGGACGGTTCTCGGTGTACCACACGACTATCTTCTCTACGTTCTTCTTCTGGACTTCCGTGCACTTTCGACATTTTGTCGCGAATGCTTCAGCGGCATGCTCTGCAAAGCGTAAAAACTCGAATATTTCGATGGACTTATCTCGAAATCCTAGCGATTTCTACATTTCTACAATATATCATTAATATATTTATTCCAATTTATTTATTCCATTTATTATTATTTAATATTTATTACAATAAATATTTATTAATATTTATTAATATATTTATTCCAAGCTTTATATACGAACAGATATTTTAATTAAGAAATAATTTTTTTTTAATGATGCAAATTTTGCACGAATTAAAAATATTCTTAATTAATTTTTCGTACACGAGCGAAAAATTAATTGAATCTCTTTAGTAAGAAGATCGTGCGAAAAATGATTCTTTATATTTTTTTTTTTTATGTGATATTGTATTAATATCAGAAAGACAAAAAAGTATCGAGGATTACTGCGTTTAAAAAAATATACAATACAAATAATAAGCACACCCACATTTATCATATAAACAATAATTTATAGTTTTATAATATAATATAACATAACGTTATCGATCATATTTTTTACATCTTGTAAAATATCTTATCTGTTTCCATATTTTTTACTAAAATTAGATAAGAGAGAATAATATTGTTACTGCGATATTACAGTTTAATTAATAAATATTACTTGTAATTAATTAATAATACTACTATAATGTTACTTTTAATGTGTATTTAAAAAAAAAGATCTTATATCTTTCGTTCTCCTAAATTTATATGAGATAAGACTGATAAGATATCACATACGCTTGAAATATTTCTGGTCCTCTGTCATGCATGGTCCTGTATCCATGAAACAATTGTAATACTGATTTCGTAACTCATCATTGGGCAAGATCTCATCGAGATTGATATGATCGAACATGTCCGAGTACATTTCCTCGGCGATGACGGCCGCCAACACGCCGGCCAGGAGGGCCAGCAAGCAGAGACTCGATTTACCCATATTTTTTGGCTTTATTAAGAATTCGCGCGAAACTGAATATCGATTCAGCACGGCGTTCTCTTTTATAATTCGCGCTCGCCCTTGGCGAATTGCTCCTTACGTAAATATACTATGTAAATAGTCGTTACACGCGTCATACTAATTGTAATTGTATATATTTTAGATGGACGGAAGGAAGATTCAGGATCCTGGAAGGATTAATTGATGACTCGAGACAAGACGAAACAACCATGCGCTCGATTGTTTCGCTCGTGTAAGATAGTCATTAAGGTAGCTCTTGCGAACTCAATGTTGGTTTACATAGCGTCTTCATTATCGTGGATCATCAACGAGGATCGAAACTGTTGTTCTTAATAAGCTACGCAAATACTACATTTTTATTCGCTACGCGAAGAATATAATCTGCTATTGCTGTGGTTAACATGCAATGCCACACTCGTAATCATATCTTCTCCACTTCTCTTCCGCTCCATATGGAATTGGTATACTTAACGCCAAGTGTGTGTTTTCTATTTAAAATTTAGGGCTAGATCGATCATGACTGAAAATAAAATAAGTAGATTAGATAACACATAGATTAGATTAGATGACACAGTGAATAATTGTGAATGATTTTGATACAAGATTATTGTTCCAACTTATTTTACTTTCAATCGTTGCTTCGGTGATATCAATTAGAGAATGTTCTCTTATTAAGTAAGTTGTATTCAAAATAGCGATATTTAGATATCATGTATAATTCTTATAAAATCTTTAGCGAAATATTAAATTAGTGTATAACACGCTGACGCGTCACGCACGCCGTTTGCGCACCGCCCCTGATTCATGCGTAATCTAGAGCGTTCATCCGTTAACTTAAAATAACTCTTATTTAAAAAGTATTGTTTAGACGTAATTCTGCCAGAAAAAAAGTTGTTTCTTTTAGCACGGACAATTACGCTGTGCATTCTGTGTGCGCGAATTCTGGGATACCCTGTATAATATTATTTGGAACAATAATCTTGGATCAAAATTATTCACGTGTTATCTAATCTACTTATTTTACTTTCAATCGTTGCTTCGGTGATATCAATTAGAGAATGTTCTCTTATTAAGTAAGTTGTATTCAAAATAGCGATATTTAGATATCATGTATAATTCTTATAAAATCTTTAGCGAAATAATAAAATAGTGTATAACACGCTCACGCGTCACGCACGCCGTTTGCGCGCCGCCCCTGATTCATGCGTAATCTAGAGCGTTCATCCGTTAACTTAAAATAACTCTTATTTAAAAAGTATTGTTTAGACGTAATTCTGCCAGAAAAAAAGTTGTTTCTTTTAGCACGGACAATTACGCTGTGCATTCTGTGTGCGCGAATTCTGGGATACCCTGTATAATATTATTTAATTATCGAAAATTATCTTGTTAAGCTTGTTACACCGCATAATTTTACATATTATTTCTTTTACAATTCTGCTTGCGTTTCTAAATAAAAATTTTGAATAATTTCAAAACTGCAGAAAATTCTATAAAATATGATTTATTTATTTTGTGATATTCTTGACGGAAATTTATTTTTAAAATTGTACTGAAACGAATGTACACACATGTACGTATATATTTTAGTGGTATATTATTACATTTTATTTAAATATTATATATAATATATTTTTCAAATATTTAAAATATATTTCAATTTAATTATAATATATTTCGAATTAATTAATTAAAGTATACTTTCATAGAGATATATGTTATAAATTAGTTTTGATTAGCTTTCCATGGTTTTAATTATGCATGTTAATGTTGCGTCGATCAAATCATAATATATATAATTATATTTTATGCATGCGTATTATGAAACTATTATTACAATATGTGAGTGACATACAAGATCATTAGTATAACGGGTTATCCGTCAAAAGGGGCAATTTTCATACATGTGATTATCGTATATACATCTTTTACTGATACGTTTTTTTTTTTAATTGGAAGTGTATTAAATAATGTATAGGATAAGAAAATAAATGGTACACGTATAACGTAACATTATATACTCTACGTAAAATACAAAGATCAGATACACGCATCGCGTCTGGAGTTATTATGATATTATAATTTAATTAAAATAAATGCACACGAACTGTCAACTGCCAAGCGCGGTAAATCATTAATTTTTTTTTTCAGGCAGGTATTTAACAAGTATTTGTTTTTCGGTTTTTTTGATACTTTCACTTCTTTCTTATTTTACTTGGGTATCATCATTGATCTTATATTTTATCATATAATTTCCTTTTCCCGATTGTTTTCCCGTATATATTTTTTTTAAACAGTCTATACTATATTATTTTGCCAATATCTCGGTAACTCATTAATTGAGCCTTTGTGGTTTCCATGTTTTTTAATAATTCGGAAATCTACGGCCTATGACCCTGCTCATATTTAACCCTAGATGCGCGTATCTTCGCGCGCTCTCGCGAATCCTAGTAATTTTAATATCGCGAGATTGGCGCGCCTTCGCGACCGCTACTTGAAAGCAGTCAACGATCGCGCTGCATTGTGGCGATCGAATGGCCGCCTCGTCTGATGTCTGTCCATTCTGTTCTTCTGTAATTAGTTTTACTTTATTTGGTGATCCACGCGTGCGGTGTCTCACGACGAACGATCCGGTAAGGTAACATCGCACAATCCTTCAATCGAACGCGACGTACGGGATAACGAGTATAATAATAGATCCGCTCTATACGCGAGAACTCAAGTGCGTGCACCCTCACGGCCGGTGTGTGTGCGAGATTTGTTTTTCCATTAAATAACTATAACTGGTGACTCGCGCGAAACACCGTCATAAATCGCGAGGGCGATCCCTCCGTTCGTCATCGGGCTCGTATACAGGGTGTATCGGGCGAATCGTCGCGCTAGAGAACGTCAATTGTAATGTACAGTAGTTTTCTCGAGAGACGTCCACACCGCTGCATGCGTGAAGTCGGAAACATTCTTATTCCCCTTCTCCCTCCCCCTCCTCCTCCTCCTCTCCTCCTCCCCCCTTCCTCGCCCCTGTCTTCTCCGCTTGTCACTAGGTTATTGCACGATTAACGGGAAGATAAGTAGCAATAAATACCTTTTGAGACTGGTATTCCGAAAAAATGTAAAATTCACTGTCCGATGTGAAAAAATTTTTGATGCATATATGAATATATTCATGAAAGTTATGATCATCAGTACAGTGATGCGTGTATACAATTTTAATTTACTCCAAAATCATCTTTTCGCTGCATAAATACAAAATATTTGATTTTATATCACGCAATCTGATTTATTTCTCTCTAATATAAGTCTTACATTATATATATATATATATATACATATA